GCAATTACTCTCAACTCAAGGATCAATGAATTTGGATCAAGAACACACAAAATCCTAATCCATCTTTACCATTCACTCTCCCGTCTCCGTGGCAACCGTCACGTAAATTGTTGTTTCCGAAAAAACAAAAAAAGAATTAATAATTTTTCACATGTGGGAGTCCTCTTGCCACGTGTCGTCTCACCAAAGGGTGTGGGTTCGGGGTTGATGACTGGGGCAGTAGGCCCTACCCAGCCCCAAATGTGCACAGCTGGCCACCTCCATAATCTCAGCCGTTGGATCTTGTGGTCACCGTTATGTCCAGCGTGTAATTCCGTTCTTCCTAAAATATAAACACGTGTCTACTAGTCCCCTTTGGTTAAAAAGTTTTAGTTTTTTAAATACTAAATTAATACAAATATTACTAAAACTTTTTATTTTGTTTTCACTAATATTCTTAAATTTTTTAAAAAATATTAAAGATATTCTTAAATAATTTTTTAAAAGCTTAAAAATTAGTGTGATTACTATATTTTAAAAATATCTATTTAAATTTTTTTAAAATAATATTAATATCAATTACTTTTATAAATAAATAAAAAACTTCAAAAAAAAAAAAAAAATCTTACCATATATAAACAAAATTTGATTATTAATGATTTATAGATTATCTCTAAATTTTTTAATATTACTTTTGAAACGCGTTAATTATAATAAGAATATTTTTTTAATTTTTTTTGTTTAAAAAACCTTTTTTTAAAAAAAAGTTCAAGCATGGTTCTACTATTATAATTTTTATTTATTTGTTTGTTTTTTGCAATAATCAAATTTAATTTATATCATAAATTAATGAATTTATGAAAATTTGTACATCACAATTAATTAAAACTATATTTTAGTATAAAATATACAAGTGTTGGTTTAAGAAAGTAACATAGGGTAAATAAAATAATACAACATAATTAGATTAAATAAGTATATTTATGGAGAAAATATAATAAAAATAATAAAATGAAATCAAGCTTTGGATCAGCTCAACATCGGTCCGATCAATCAGGATATGGGCTTTAAAAAAATTGAGCCCATGGGCTTTAGGGAAAAGAATGGGCCCATGGGCTTTCGGGAAAAGAATGGGACCATGGGCTTTCGGGAAAGGATGGGCCCATGGGCTTGGGAATCACTAGTCCCGATTAAAAACCTAATTCTGTCTCAATATCAACACTATAAATTGACCAGCATTTCTCTCCCTCGTTTTCCAAGAGGTAAAAACCCTAGTTTGCTCCGGCTACCACACACCCGTCCAAAATGGCCGCCGCAGCCGCTCGCCCTTTGGTCGCCGTCCAATCTCTCGAAGGAGATATGGCCACTGATGCTGCCCCGACTGTGCCGTTGCCCGATGTTATGAAAGCTTCCATTCGACCGGATATCGTCAATTTTGTCCACGCCAATATCTCCAAGAATCGCCGCCAACCCTATGCAGTGAGCAAGCGTGCCGGTCATCAAACTTCCGCAGAGTCATGGGGTACAGGACGAGCTGTTTCTCGTATTCCTCGTGTTCCTGGTGGTGGTACGCACCGCGCTGGTCAAGGAGCTTTTGGAAACATGTGTCGAGGAGGACGCATGTTTGCTCCAACTAAGATCTGGCGCCGATGGCACCGAAAGATCAACGTGAATCAAAAGAGGTACGCCGTTGTTTCTGCCATTGCTGCTTCTGCTATTCCTTCTTTGGTTTTGGCTCGTGGTCATCGGATCGAGTCTGTTCCGGAACTGCCCCTTGTAATTAGCGACTCGGCTGAGGGAATCGAGAAGACCTCTTCTGCGATTAAGGTTTTGAAGCAGGTTGGTGCGTTGCCTGATGCTGAGAAGGCGAAGGACAGTCACGCCATCCGCCCTGGTAAGGGTAAGATGAGGAATCGTCGCTACATTTCGCGAAAGGGTCCATTGATTGTGTATGGTACTGAAGGTGCTAAGCTTGTGAAGGCCTTCCGTAACATTCCTGGTATCGAGGTGGTGAATGTCGAGAGGCTGAATCTTTTGAAGTTAGCTCCTGGAGGTCATCTTGGAAGATTTGTTATCTGGACTAAAACCGCTTTTGAGAAGCTCGATTCCATCTATGGATCGTTTGAGAAGTCATCTGAGAAGAAGAAGGGTTACGTGCTTCCGAGAGCAAAGATGGTCAATGCTGATTTGTCTAGGATTATAAACTCTGATGAGGTTCAATCTGTCGTTAATCCCATCAAGAAGGCTGTGAAGAGACCTTCTCTGAAGAAGAACCCACTGAAGAACCTTAATGCCATGTTGAAGCTTAACCCATATGCTAAAACTGCAAGGAGAATGTCTTTATTGGCTGAGGCACAACGCGTGAAAGCTAAGAAGGAGAAGCTCGACAAGAAGAGGAATATTATCCCGAAGGTATCTTTTGAATTTCGCTCTGTGGATTTAGAATTTTTAATTAATCTCTGCTTGGTTTCAATATTTAGGTGGTAGCTTTGTTTATCAACCAAATATGTGGTAGTTCACAATATTTCCAATGTTGAAGTGCCAAGATTTTTAAATGGGATTCGATTTAATGTAGTGATATGATAGGTTTAGAGTATTGTATTCACAACCGCTTTCATTTTGAGCGATGCATTTAACTGTTGATTAAAATGCTTTAGCCTCAGCTTTTATTTTTTGGCTAGATTTTAGATTATGGTTATATAATTTTTTTGCAACTTGGTAGATGAGTATTGGGTGCTGTATAGCTTTATTTGTCACGTCTCTCTTAGATATCAAGTCATCATTTCCTTTCTTTCAATTTTATGTTAGCAAATTCCTTTTATGCTTGATACATAGCATATTTTTCTATGACATTGATGGAAGTATCTGTGAATTTGTTGTCCATTATTTTCTTGGAACTGATTGCTGATTTATTAGTTTCCTAAGTTTATTCACTTGTTGTACAGTTGAATCAGACTTCTTAGTTTTCGTGTATAGCTTGGAATTCATAATTTTTTTCAGCTTGAATAGGTCACCTGATTGTGGCTTTGCATGTGTGATATTGAGACCCATATTGACCCTTTGGCCATTTTTTTGTATTCAGGAGGAGGCTTCAGGAATAAGGGCAGCAGGCAAAGCATGGTATCAGACAATGATTTCAGACAGTGATTACACCGAGTTTGACAACTTCTCCAAGTGGCTTGGTGTCTCTCAGTGATTTCGTTTCTGTTTGACAAAAATTTCCATAGACCTTAGTTTAATTAAATTTTGTACGCGCTGCTGTTTCTGCTGCTTTTCTGTTTTGCGTCATGGAAGAAAGTAGGAGGGCTGAGTATACTGAATGGGATGTTGAGTTCCCCCTATTCTCTTGCCTACCTTGTCCTTGTGGAGGATTATTTCTTTTTGGAAATGGAATTGAACATCTGAAGAGCTTAGAAAGGTGAGTTTAGTAATTTGGACTGAGATTTACACTTCAAAACTTTTGTTCAAATTTTGAATCTACTGTTTTCTTTTTTTGATGATTAGATATAGATAGACTGGTATACTATGTCTTCTTTTTGCAATGAATGTTCATGCGATTGATTGAAACATAGTATGGTTTTGAAGTTGTAACGGCATGTGTGGAGGAGCCTTGGATCTTTAACCATTTCCCTACTACATTCGCTAGATAATTATTTGGGTATTTTTTTAAAATTATTTTTGTTACTAGGCTTGTCAAGTTCCTAGTTGTGTCGTGCCTCTAGGTATTCTCTACCTAGCTACCTGTGTTGGTTTTAGCTACCTGTGTTGGTTTTGGGTACAGTTACCCTTTTGTTGGGTCATTCAAGTTGAACCGGGTACTCTAAGATTGGCTGGAGTTATTTTTTCTACCCTTCTTAACTTGAAAAAATTGGTAATCATTTTTTGGCTCAACCTAGTCTCCGTCCCTCGGGACCAACAAGATCTTTCTAAAGAAAATATTTTTAAATATTCTTTTTATTTATTCTCATCTTACCTAGTTTTCTTCAGCCACCCATCACAATTTCCCTAATTCATTTGTATGGTTAATCACGTAACCAATTGGGCCTATCATCGAAAAGAGATGGGCTAGTCCGTCTTCCAAGTGACAGGCTCTGCTTTCTTAAATGATTAATTTAATAAACAGAAATGGAAATAAATTACCTGTCACAAACTACGGCAAATCTACACACACACACACACACATATATATATATATATATGGTGAGTGATGCCTTGGGAGAGGGTGCATGTAGTGAAAGAGGGTAAATTTCGTAGTTCCATGTAAAAGTGGATCTTCCTCTTTCATAGGGATTTGCTCTAGAGGAAAAAATAAATATATTTCTTTATTCTTTCTTTATATAGTAAGTATTGATTTTTGTTTATTATTTTATTGGAAAAAAAAGAAACAGACAATAAAGATTCTTTTTATTATTTTAATTTCTAGTTTTTCCTCTCCTATTGTAAAAATACAATATATAAACTATATAACATAAATTTAATTATATAAAATAAATTATCATAAGTTTACATTACCATTTATTTTCATGTTACCATTTATTTTTATACTTTATTCGTTAAATATTGCCCAAATTTTATTTATAACGTCATCTCTCACATAAGTCATTCGTGGTAAACGAAAACGTCATCTCTCACATAAGCCATTCGTAGTAAATATACGTTGAAAAGTTAAAAGTAATGATTAAATATACCATTAATATTAAAATTTGTAATATTATTAAAAAGTTTTTTTTTTTAATTAGTCTAAAAATAAATTTAAAAGATTGATGCATGGAGGAAAAATAAATATGTTAGAAAGTAATCAAGTTTGATAATATTTAAAAAAAAAACAAGAAATAGGTAAACTATCGATGAGCTTAAGAAAATAATATAAAAATAAAAACAAAATTAAAATAAAATAAAACGTTTTCGTTGATTTCTTTCAAACTACAGAAAGAGACAAGAGAAGTGCAGTTTTTTAGTGACCCCCACCTCGTCTTTTCTCAATTTCCTGCCTCTATCCGCCATGGAAATCGAGCTCCCACCTTCAATAAATTAACAACTTCACCCACTTTCTCTTTCGACTTCATTCTCCTCTCTTCATTGATTCAACCAGTCAGGAGTCTGTTTACTGGTGACCCATCTCCACCCTTATTGTTTTCTTCTTCATTTTCTCTTTGTTTCTTCCATAATGATCCTCTGATTGTAACAGCTGAAGTGCTGTGATGGTTTGATTCTTTACAATCCAATTATGCTTTGATTTCCATGTTTTTTTTTTTTGCAGAAGGTGGAGTTTCAAGCCCATGCTGAATCTTAACCACGACGTTGTTCCATCGGAGATGGTTACTGAGAATTTTCTGAATCTTCCAGCGAACAGAATGGAAACCGCTGGATGTTTCAACTCGTCCCCCGTCGTTAATGGCGATCCTTCCGCCAGCACCACCAACGTCGACGAGGTTTTCCCGTTCACTTTCGGTAAAAATTCCGCGGTTCAAGAAAGCTCAACGGTGAAATCACTTTCTATTTCCGATGACCACCGCGACCAGACGATGGAGCTCTTCCCGTTAACGGACGGATTAAATTCTATTTCCGATGACCACCGCGACCAGACGATGGAGTTCTTCCCGTTAACCGAAGGATTAAATTCTAGTTCGAGTACTCAGAAGCAGTGGCCGGGGGTTTCTCCATCGGAATTCAAACATGGAGACGGCGGCGCACCGGCGCAGCCACAGGATCAGGCGATGAGGAAAAACAGACGCGGTCCAAGGCCTCGAAGTTCGCAGTATCGTGGCGTTACGTATTATCGTAGAACCGGGAGATGGGAATCGCATATTTGGTAAGTGTTTTATATTTTTGACAGTTGCATGACCTTATTAGGTTGCTTGAATTTGAATCCGCCATTTATGCCGTTCTTGAGCACCTTTTCTATTCGTTACCAGGGACTGCGGGAAACAGGTTTATTTGGGTACGGCCATTGCTGTTTGATTCCTTTTCTTTTCTTTTCTTTTCTCGAACTTCGATTCATCATTTTCTCTATGGCTGTTTCTCTTTTCCTTCAGGCGGTTTCGATACTGCTCATGCTGCCGCCAGGTAACAATAAAAAACCACTTCTCTTGTTCTTTCCGCCATTTTTGGTTGGATTTCTCTTAGAATTCATATTTTCCATCTCAGAGCATATGATAAAGCGGCGATCAAGTTTCGGGGGGTCGACGCAGATATCAATTTCAGTGTCAGAACTTATGAAGAAGATATCAAACAGGTGAGGTAGCAGTCTAAGATAATGCTTGTTACTGTCAGAAATTCAAATAACGCCATTGATGAAGAGCTTCTCTCTGATTCTGCCATTAACACCCCAGATGAGTAATATCACTAAGGAAGAGCTTATTCATAATCTTCGTCGCCGTAGCAATGGATTTACAAGAGGGAGCTCCAAGTACAGAGGAGTTACCTTGCATAAATGTGGTCGATGGGAAGCTCGGATGGGCCAGTTCTTAGGCAGAAAGTGAGTCTAAATTATTCTGGGACTTCCTTTTCTGTGTGTTTCTTGGATCATGTTTCTGGGATTTTGTCTTGAATCGAGCTGTTTTTGTTGGCATTTTTCTTCCTTATAGGTACATGTATCTTGGTCTCTTTGATAGTGAGATTGAAGCTGCAAGGTCTTCTTAAATCTTTCTGACTTTCTAATGCTTCCTTATGTCCGCCGTTAGCTTAAGGCTAGTGTCACAGAGGGCTTCCATGCAAGAAGCTTTTATAGTCGAGAGTGACACAGCTTGTTTGCCTTTCTTCTTTCTTTTCGGTACGTTCGGGTCACGCCCTTTAACTTGATAGTTTACTCTTGTTCAATCAGGGCCTATGACATAGCTGCCTTAAGATGCAATGGTAAAGAGGCTGTAACAAACTTTGATCCAAGTTCTTATATGTCAGAGATGGCTGCAGAGACTGACACAGGAGGTCTGATTCTTCTCTGTTTACACATTTTCTCATTCTAGTTCTTAACAACCCCCTTTGCTCGATCGGGTTATGCATAACAATTGGTTTCGAAAACCGTCTTGATTTGTAGAGGACAACCAGAGTCTTGACCTGAGTTTGCGAATTGCTCCCCCCAATCATTCTGACCCTCAAAGTGAGAGCATTCGCATGTTTGGTAATGGTTGTCATCTCAGCTCACCCGACGTCGTCGTTGATGGTAGAACGACGGTAATTCTCGAGACTGAGTTCTGGAATTCTTTCGTTTTCCTGTTAATGCTTGGCTAACATCTTGCTCTCTCACAAACAGCTTGACAACTCTGTTTCGGCAGCAATTGGATCTTCTCAGCCATATGGCTATGCTGTGCCTTCAAATTCCTGTTTCTATACCATCTCCAGGGTAATCAACCATTTGATAAACAAACTTCATATAATCTGAACATATATTTCTTGTGTTTGCATTCAGCTCCTCATGTAATTGGTAGATATATCATATTTGATGTTCTGACTTTTGCCTGTGAATTAAAATTGCGAATGCAGGACAGAGCAGCAGAGACGAGAATGGGGGAGTGGCAAATCCATGGCCACTCAAATGGATTAACCTCTGTGCCATTCTTCTCTGCTGCAGCATCATCAGGATTCCTTTCTTCTTCTTCTTCTTCTTCTTCTTCTTCTTCTTCTTCTGCCATTTCATCCTCTGCTGTTGGTGAAATCCATTTCTCAGCTATTTTCCATCACCATGACAGCAACTTATCCAACTTCTACTGTAGGAATTGAACTGGAAATCCCTTGGGGGAACTGAAGAAAGAAGGAAGGATCAGAACTGACAGTATAAAGGTATTCTTTGTTTCAGAAAGATTACAGGTTACGCACACAATTTTATTGTAATAATACCTTCTGAAGATTTGAGTTTCTAAGTTGTGAGCTTTTGTAATTAAGATTATAAAATTATGTTTTGGATTGTTGAGTTGCATAAAAACAATCTTATGCATGATGGATAGAAATCAATCTGTATACGTTGATAGTTTTTTAAACTAACGAAAAAAATTTAATGTTAAAATAACAATAATTTAATCTCATCGTAGTTTCTAAATTGTTTTAGGACTAAAATGAAACGATTTTCAAATTTCATGGATGAAAATGTAATCTGAACGAAAGATGGATAAAAGAAGTAGGTATGGATTACTTGGATGAGATATTCTTCACATAGCTTGAAAGTCATATCGAAATCTCTTCTGATCTCCGCTCCGCCTTGCCGACCTCCGCTGTCTCCTCCGCCGTCACTTCCGCATGCACACTACTGATCTGTCTTCTCCTTATCGAGCGAAGTTCCAGATTTCCAATCGTGCTGTCAGAAACAAAAAGGTGAAGATGAACAGTTCCATCATCAAACAAGAAATCCATCAATCCATCAATTATTAACAACTGTCAGTGTCACTCTTGATTCAACTATTCCTTCTGCAAACCCTAAATTGAAAACATCGCAACGCAATTTCATCCAATTTACCGCTCGATTCGTCTCCTGGTTCAGATTTCACATCGTTCTCATCTCTTTCTCCATTTTAATTTAGGATCCGATGCTGCTACCTCTGTGTTCCTCTGCAATTTGTCCATAAAAATGGCGATCATCGAGAACTGTTTTTGCCTTGCAGAGTTTTCGTCCCCGATCCTCTAAGAATGATCGGTCATTTCGGAAGAGGCACATTCCCTTTCCCCTTCCTGATGCTCCTTTCCAAAGGCCGACAAAATTTAAAAACTTTCGCTTAATTTTGGTTCACAATATAATAAATTAATTTATATTTAATAAATAAATTCATTTCTAAAAAAAAATCTATTAAATACGAAATTAAAAGGTTATCTTATTATTCAATTTTAAAATTAAAAAATCTATTACCCATAAAAATTAAAATTTTGGTCATTATTATTAATTTTCATGAACTAAATATTATCAAATTTATAATTAAAAAAATAATTAAATTAATAACTTGGCTTCTTTTATTTATTTCTTTTTTATTTTAAGATTTGTAATTTTCTATAGCTTATTTTTATTTATGGATCGACAAAGCTAGATTCCAATTTTTTTATTTTAGACAATTTATATATTTTTTTTTATATATATTTCTATTTCGATTAAATTTACAAGTCATCGGAGGTTGGAATTGAACTCAACATGGGCCTTATGTATCCGTTAAGCCCAATAATCGATGGGCTAAGGCCCATTATGTTTAATTGGGCCAACTCGTGAAAATAGATAATTTGAAAATAATTGGCGTAAATAAAAATTAAAGTAAAAAAAATTACTTTGTAATATAAACGGGTAAAAACAACACCAACATATTCAATTACAAATAGATCAAGGTTCGAATCTATTTACTTTTATTCATAAATAAATAAATAAAATTTCGATATTTTTAAAATATTTTTAAAATATAAAATTAAAAGTAATTGCAAAATGTATTGCTTTTCCTTTTCTGCTTAAAAAAAAAAGGTCACTTTTTTCCGTTAAAGTCATTGACTTGAAAATTTGAAGCTACTTATTGGACCAAACTAAAATGAACGAAAGGGTTACAAAAACAGCCCATGTGGGTAATGTGCCTAATTTTCAGGTCGAGATTAAAAAAACAACGTGAATGAAAGTGAAAAATATCATATGAATGATTAATGCCATCGCGGGAGAAAGAACTCACTGAGCTAAGATCACTCTCTTTCTTCGTTAACATGAACTAAAATTCGCGGTTGATAAAATCTTAATTAATAATCATCCATTTAACACTAATTATCTTTTTTAATTATATTTTATTATTGTTTTTTAATAGACTATATTAATAAAAATACATTTTTAAAATTTCAAAATTTCAATTTTCAATAATAATTTTTGGAAAAAGAAGTCTAAAATTTAAGGGTAATTTTATTAATTTAGTTTTTTTTTTAGAATTATATTTTTATGCTTTCCCGCGTTTAAGTTGGATACAGTGTGACGCGGAAGCAACTATTGGTGGGTCCCTCTCTAATCGGTGAATCTCCTTCGTCCACGTGTAAGATTTACAATATCTCGCTGTATAGCTATGGTTCAGCTTTTGTATACCGCCTTTATATCGGGCCCCACGCATCCCGATCCCGTCAAAAATAAAAAGGAAATAAATAATTAATTTTAAGTTAAATTTATATATAACATGCCAGAAAAAAATGGAAATTATATTATAGAATCATACGAACAGTCCAATCTCTCTCTGTCTTCCACACATTCCATTTCTTGATTGATTATTGAGCTCAAGAGTTGATAAATCCCCGTAGATCCTTCTTGATTACTTTACACTCTGGTAACCAGTTTCTTCCCCTTCTGCTTTCTTAAGATCTCTCATGGCTCCAATGGTTGCAGCAATGATTGAACTCTGAATCTATTTCCATTGTTTTCTTCATGCTCGGAAAAAATGGAGGCTAAGTTTCAGTTTCTGTTTCTTCTTTTTCTTTTTGATGTCTCCTTTGCTCAGATGCCAGGTATTTTCTCCATCTTTGTTATTCGATTTTCTGTAGTGATTATCCGTGCTCTGTTGCACTTTATATTGATTTTCGACTGTAATTTTCATGTCTTAAGGTTTATCGAGCTTTGCAACTGTTGGTTTCTGTGTTTTTGTTCAGTTCAAATGGCGTTATCTCCGAGTCTTTGATTTTCACTCTTTCCGGTTTGATAAATGGCTGTTGCAGTGTTTCTTAGATTCTGGCTTGTGAGAATGAACGTTAGATATTTTGGATTCTATCGCTGTCGTCATCTTTTTACCTAAATTTTGGTTTAAGATGATGATTGACGCGTCGTCCGTTCTTCAATTTTTTGATCATTATGTTTTGGACTTGTTGTTGACTAACTAGATAATTTGTACTCCACGGTTTACTAATATTTAATGTTGAAGTTATTTTCAATTGTTCTTCCTTCCGTTTGAACATTTTCGTCACGGTATTTTTGAATTTCTTAATCTTTTTTGCTTGATCGTTGTCTTATGAAGCTTGCCAAATAACATTTATTAGCATGTGAATTCTCGATATGAAATATGCTGATTGTTTAATCGAATGTTGAGTATTTACTACGAAGCTAAAGTATTCTGTTTATTGTGGATTAGGTTTTGTAAGTTTGGACTGTGGAGGTCAAGAAAGTTTCACTGATGACATTGGTCTGGAATGGGTTCCAGATACTCAAGTTCGTTTTGGAGAAGCAATTAACCTATCTGTTGCAAATGAGACGAGGAAGCAATACAGGACCTTAAGACACTTCCCTGCCGATTCCAGGAAGTACTGTTACTCACTCAATGTCACTAGTAGAACACGTTACCTTCTCAGAGCAACATTTTTGTATGGTAACTTCGACAACAATAACGTGTATCCAAAATTTGACATTTCCCTTGGGGCAACTCACTGGACAACAATTGTCATATCTGACGCCAACACCATAAAGGTTCGAGAGATCATATTTCTGGCTTCAACTCCTACTGTGAGTGTTTGTTTGTCAAATGCCACAACTGGGCAGCCGTTCATATCCACGCTTGAGCTTCGACAATTTAATGGCTCTATCTACTATACTGAATTTGAGGATCAGTTTTACCTAAGTGTCTCGGCAAGGATCAATTTTGGAGCAGATTCCGAAGCCCCAGTAAGGTCAGTGAGCACTAGGAGTATATTTACTTTCTTATATACTCAATGAATAGTTCTACAAGTAGCCAACGGCAAATTAATAAAAGCAATAAGAATCTGGATTTTTTGTACCAACCTTTGTAGGGCCATCTATTGTGATAATGCCTTCAATATTTGGATTAAGTTTCTTTTTTTAATTTTTAAAATAATGTATATAATATGAAATCATCACGGCAGGTATCCTGATGACCCTTTTGACCGGATATGGGAGTCTGACTCTGTGAGAAAAGCAAATTATCTTGTTGATGTTGCTGCTGGTACTGAAAAAGTTTCCACTAAAATGCCAATAGATGTCAACAGAGATGAAAGACCACCTCAAAAAGTTATGCAGACGGCTGTAGTTGGCAGAAATGGTTCATTAACTTACCGTTTGAATTTGGATGGTTTTCCTGGCTTTGGATGGGCATTCACCTACTTTGCAGAAATTGAAGACTTGGGTCCTACTGATACGAGAAAATTCAGGCTTGTACTTCCCGGCATGCCTGAAATCAGCAAAGCTGTAGTCAACATTGAAGAAAATGCTCAAGGAAAATATCGGCTTTATGAGCCTGGTTTTACCAACATAACCTTCCCTTTTGTATTATCTTTTAGGTTTGGGAAAACATCAGATTCTGTGTTGGGACCTCTGTTAAATGCCATGGAGATTAACAAGTATCTTGAAAAAAGTGATGGTTCTCTAGATGGTAATCCTAAAGTCAAATTGATTTGAAGTTAAACTCCTGAATGTTATATATTTATGTCTTATAATGTATTTAACTTTGCTGATCGATTATGTTTGATATTGGAACATGTGAACTTCAGGAGCAGTTGTTGCTAGTGTAATTTCAAAATTATCGTCTTCAGATTTGGATGAAGGTGGTGATCCATGCATGCCAGTTCCTTGGTCATGGTTGCAGTGTAACTCTGATCCACAGCCAAGAATAGTTAAAATGTAAAAGTTTTTGCGCTATTTTTCAAGTCTATTTATGTTTACATATATTTGACATTCTAGTTACTGTATCTACCTTTGGCGCTTGTTAGTTTATTGTCCAAAAAGAATTTGACAGGGAACATCCCTACAGACGTTGCAAAGTTGAACAGTTTAGTTGAATTGTAAGTTCCATTTTGCATGCAAT